CAATTTTCAATATCCCCAAACTTTATGTGCTAATCCAAAGTTAAAATTTCAAAATAGCTATTTTACTAGATGGTTATGACTATCATACTCCATCCCAGACAGTGGAGCTTATTGCAAGATATGTGTCCTGTTTGGACCACGATATGCTGGCAGAAATCTAGTTAAGCTTAACACTCTTGTTAAGACTCCTTTAAATAAATACAAAGATGCGGGGTAAATTTTTGACAATCATCTGAAAACAAATTATCACAAAAGCTGTGAACTGATGATTTCGTCAAAAGAATCAATTCAAAAGGGGGATATGATTCCCATTTCATCACTTATTGATAAAAACAGGGTTAAAATCGCAAAAGTAAATAGATGTAAGATAAAACTAACTATTGAGGCTATTTTATATTGTGGCTTGCAAGGCCTGGTACTACGTGGCCACAAGGATTCAGGAAGTTTAAATTTTAATAATAATGATAACGAAGGTAATTTTCGTGGACTTTTAAAATTTAAAACATTAGGAGATCCTGTATTATTGGAGAGCCTAGTAGCAATAAAAATGCTACTTATCTTAGCCCCAGGATACAAAATGAGATAATTGATATTTGCAACAATATCATTTTAGAAAAATTGATTGCTGAAATCAATTCTGCCCCATGCTTCTCAATTTTGGCAGATGAGACCACGGACATTGCTGGCATTGAGCAGATGTCATTGTGTGCGCGATTGGTAGATACTCATAATAACATTTTCAAGAAAATGTTTCTACATTATTTTCAAAAATATAGCTAAATATACTTAATGCCGATCTTAGTAGTCCTCCGGATTTACAAGGGAGAGTTGCTTGAAGCCATGAGTTAGAATCGAGTTTGATATTTAATAACTCTGTCATCATTTGTAGTATCTTTTATTCATATTCTTTTAAAAGAATTTCAAAAGAGAAGACACCAGAAGTTTTTAAACAATACTGGATTTGTCAATTAAAAGGGCGTTTTTGAGAATGTAATATACTTGATAGATGGGTAATTTTTTTAAGATCGATAGTTTGGGGAATAGTGATTGAAGGTGATTATTTAAAAAATTAAAAACTCCCTCTGCACCTCCCAATGGGGCTCCTAATATACTGAAATCTTGTCAGGGTGTCCGTCTAAAGTTATCTAATATGGTGTCTATTGGAGTTCATTCATCTCATCAACCTTATCAGTAAAAAATATTACCTCGCAAACTATTACCATCGATAAAGATAATTTATTAGTTAAAAATAAAGAACCAAATCAACCTACATTTAAACATTAGACGGACATCTTGTAAAAAACATGTTGCAGACTTCTAATTCGCATCACAAAATTAAATTCTAGATTTTATATTTATAAATCAATTTACAATAAAAAAAGTATTTATGTTTATTTGAAATCGTAATAAAAATATTCTCTTAATTATTTAAATTAATACAAATAGGTAACAAATAGGTATTTGTATTTATGATTTTAAATACAGGTATTGGCGATACTGCCCAACCCTACGCATGATAAGCAATTATTGAAAACAACTTTTCTAATTTTGATCAATAATCAGGGTTGCCAGATATTCTTCACTTGAAAACGTGAGTTTTTCTTTTATAATAATTAATGGGGGACTTCGCCCCCCATACTCTAGCATACTCATCTAAGTTAATATGTTATATTTAATATAACAAGATTTTAAAGACAATGAAAATTCTTTATTGATTTACTAATAACAATTATGATATATAATTTTCTCATGTTTATAAATATAGCATAATATTAATTATTATATTTTATGGATGATTTTAAAAGAGGCAATAAAGATTTCCCATCGGCACTGTGGCTATAGGCTGAAAACTCTTTGCATGAATAGTTATATTTTGTTTAAACATAAGTTCAGCTTCCAATGATGACGTTCTTTTCGCCAAGCAGTAGTCATTAGACTTCTGATGAAGCAATGCGGTATTGAAAATATAAAATTGCATATTTTCTCTATCAATGGTGAGTTTTTATTAGAAAGAAAATCCATCTATTTTTCTTGGGTATTCAAGTGATTGTTTTTTGATAATTTTTCTTCATAATAGGAATAAAATTGTGAATATTCCTCAAATAGAATTTCTGTATCTATGTTAGGTATTTTATAATTACTAATAATTTTTTGTAATATTTTAATGTCATAAGGCTAAGATATTTCCAGTCATAAGGCTAAGATATTTCCATATATTATCTATAATATCTAATGTTTTCTACATATTCTATAATATTTTTTATAAATATCTTTGATTCATTTTCGAAATTTATTGCCTTTTCTATATCATTATTATGTTGTAAAATATTTTTAGAAATGCTCCCATAAAAATTTTGTTGAATTTTTAAATTTAATGAATTCTTTAGTTTTAGAATAAGATCATGTAAATATATTGATAATACACCTTCAGATTGCAATTATAAATTTATGTTAATGACTAAAGTGCCAACGTTAAGGAAAACACCTAAATATGCCTCTGCAAAATCATCTCCAAAGATTATTTTCAAAATTGGTGGGGTTGCTGATAATGATAAAAAATACTCTTTAAGGGGTTGAAAATACTTAAGCATCCGCTTAATCGCTGGGATTAATGTAAGCCAGAGTGTTGGAACATGAAGTGATTCTGACCATTTTAAATTGCATCATTCTACCAATTCTTTTAAAATTGTAACTCTTTTTGTCGAGTTGCTAAATTCATTATAGCATTTAATTACTATACTCTCAATATCATATTTAAGAAAAATTATGGTCTTTTTAAACGAATTGTGAAGAATGTGGCATATACAACCCATTGGTATAATATTATTACTATGGGTTTTCAATTCTGTACAAATACTTTAATTTTTCCCAAAGTTTACAGATGCGTTATCTGCACAATAGGCCGTTACATTAGCAATATAAAGTTCAGCGAATTTTAAATTTCTAGCAAGCATATAGATATGTCTTTAGGGGTTTCACTGTCAGACGAAAAAATTTTAAGTAATTAAACATTTATTCCATTCTTTTTGTTGAAGTATTTAGGAAATGTTTTTATATTACCTTTATTCTATGCATCCGTTAGTATTGAAAACGGATGATTGTTTTTTAGATCTTTTATAATATTTGCCCTTAATTTATTTCATTTAAAATTTTACGAGTTTTAATATAAGATTTATAAAATCCATAAAAGAAATGTATAGTTAGTTAAATTCATATTATAATTATACTTGATAAACTTTCTAAAAATTGAATTTCTGTTGTGGGTAATTGATCAATGAATATGATTGGTTAGTTGGACTATTAACAAATACTACAATTTTTTTAAATATTTTAAAATAAAATTAATTAAAAATTTTATATTTGTTTTTAAAAATATTTTAATAAAATTTAAAAATATTTTGAAAAAATTTAAAAACGTGATAAAAAGTGGGACTAATTGTGATTATTTTAATTTACTCAAAAAACGTGAGAAAAGCGTGAAGTGTGAGAAAACGTGGGTAAGTAAAAAATTAAGTATGAAATCGTGAGAATCACGGCTTCGTGACATCTGGCAACCCTGTCAATAATATAGAATTCTAGAATAATTTTTATTTTTTTGAATGGGTGACTATATTGAACTCCTATAAAAAAAAATATGGTAAAATTATTCATATTTACCTTATTATATAAGGTGTATGGTTGCTGCTGGATTATTATCTTCATTTTCAACGTTTAATAATTCTCCATTGGATATCGTTCATCTTACTCGTACTCTTATTCAGCTCGAACTCCCTAATTTTCAAAGGCGTCACGCTGGATGAAGATTATTTTACGGGATCTTCCAAAATATATTGTTGCTGCAATTGTAATAATTCTTCCTACAGTTACGATCAAAGCCAACAAACTCCTACATTAAATCTTACTCCAAACTCATGTAGAGAAATTAAAGTTAAAAACGGGGATCGCTTAAATGATTGGTTGATTCCCAAATATCTTGTAACCATGCCAATGATTAGAAAAAAATATTTTGATTCAGTGGTATGAGAAAATAATACCGTATTTTTTTAAAAAAAAGAAATCTTGTGACCATGCTTTAAAAAAAATAATAATATATTTTCATTTATGTAACATGTATTATTGATTTTTCCACACCCCAAATATTTTTTTTATACAAGTATTGGAAAAGAAAAATCATCTACAATTTTTTTCAAAATAGGCATTGATCTCGGGCTGTAAATTACTAATTATTTTTGTTATATACGCTCAACAATTAATAATGGCATTGTTATATTGTTTGTATTTATTAAAAAAATATATAATAAAAATTAGATTATCATTCATAGTTATGGCCATATTTTAATCTAAAAAGTATTTTTTTTAATTATTTACTTCTTACTAGATCTTAGATTTCCATTAACTAGATATAGGTTGTAAAGCAGTTATATCTAGAATGGATCTCTATATGATAGCTAGGGTTTTTAAAAAATTTAATTAGGTTATATATTCTTAATTAAGTGTATCAAAATATGCACATCATTTAAAGCGCAAATTTAACGGAGGATTTTAAATACGTGTTACTTTTATGCTAAACTTTTAAAATAGGGATAAGTAATGCTGCAGCAATGGCGTAACCAAGGAAATGGGAAAAATTTTAAAGATATTATAAATTACCCACCTACACTACACTCCTCAGCCCCACTTTCCCCAAAATAAGCAAAAAAAATTTTAAGTGTAAAACCAAAATGATTATTTTTTAATTGTAATCAGGTCAAAGGCATTCAAAAACCGTATCTAAAACTCTCCAGTAAAATTTATTGTCAAAAAGGCCCATAAAAGTCTCTCCCATTCTAGTTCAGATAATCATGGCGCCCAGTAGCAGTAAAAATAAGTTTGTCATTTATATAATTTTTTTATTTTAATAAAGAAAGCTTCTTTTTAATCTGAATTTTTGTAAATATGTCTTTTTTTAAATTATGAAGTCAACCAAAATAAAATTAACCATAACTTTTTTGTAACGAGTATCTTATTACTAAAAATTTATTTGTATAAAAATAATCTTCTATAACATTATTCGAACAATAATTAATCACATGATAGAAGAAAAATAAATATAATTTTCATAAGCATAAACAATTAGGATCATATGACTCAAATTATAGTTTTTATCCTGTTGCTTAAACATAGCCAAGTGTTCATGTGTTCGTAGACTTTAAGGGGGATTCCGGATTGGTATGGTATGTGCCAAGAATTTTGCTTGGGATCATATTGTGATTTTATGGAATATTTCAAGGTGGGCTTTAATTGTTTAAAAAGAAATTGAATATTTTAATTCAATTTGTAAAAAAAAATTCTCAAATTAATAATTGTATTTATTCGAACTCAAAAATTTTCTATCTCCAAAAAGTGTCAAATTTTTATTTGTTCTAAGAAAAAAGCTTATAGCGCTTCCAAAATTGGGTTAGTGCTACTTTGCGTTTGCTCGCATCCCATATGATTTGTGTCCAATATGTACGAATTGTTTGGAACAAATCTATATTGTTATTATACGTTAAGTCGGAGACCCTCTCATTGAAATCTAGCAAATATTCATAGTTGCGTCTAATATATTATAGCCGATTTCGATTTGATTTCCAAATAAGTTATCAATTGGTTCGAGGCTAATTAATAACAAGCGATTATATGCAAAAATAAAATAGAATATTCTAATTCAGGATTATAATCTAATATATATAAATTCCGTAATCAAGAAATGAACGTTTTCGTATAATCTTAATGCTATTTTTATTTTTTCTATCAACTTTCCTATCATCTTAATGTTAATAAATAGAAGGAGACTCTATACCTCTAACGTTAAATTTTTTTTTACATCAACGAGATTCGATCTCCATACTTAACGTTACATAGGCAAACGTTCTTTCCAACTCAGCCCCTTTCTATCTTAAATTTTGTAATAAAATTCTTATATATGAAACTATATTTTGATAAAGTAATTTAATTATATCAATATTTATTTTATTTATTGGAAGCTCCAGGCTTGGGGAAAAAATTTCATTGGCCAGGTTCGAGAAAAATTTTTAAAAATTATAATGGGTCGGGCTGGGTTTGGGATTTTCAAATTATTATTAGCTTGGTAGATTGGGAATTTTTTTATTATTAACTAGGATAAGACATTGGCCTAAAATAATTTTTTTTTTGCAAGCCTGGACTCGGCCTGATCAAAAAACCAAGGCCTTGGACCTTACTTGGGAATTTTTTCAGTATTAGGTAATTCCATACTAAACCTATAACTTTTCGGCACGACCTTTTTAATTTCGATAAAATTTTGTAAGCTGAGAGAATATCATTTGAAAGCATCGAATCCAAAATTTTAGCCTCCAGTACTCATAGTTCCTGAGATATCAATGGTCAAATGTGCCAAAAATGACCTTTTTTCGAAAATACGATTTTTTGAAATTGAGATAAGTTAAAAAACAATGATTTTAAAAATATAAGTTATATGTCATTTTGTAACTCTATTAAACGCCTTTTATTAAATATTAAGGATTTTTTTGAAATAATATTGTTGCGGTTTTTATTTACGTTATAAATTTTAAACATAAAAATTCCAGGTGTTTCGCTTTCCAAATTTTTTTGAATTTAATATTTTATTATTCTCTAACCTTATATCTATTCATAAAAAAAAATTTAAACTTGGGACAGCCATGGATTTTATAGTTATTACGATTTAAAAAATCAAAAAATTAATATTTTTTTCAAAAATAGATGGCGCTTCTTTATAAAATAACACGTTTTGTTATAATTATTATTTTTTTAAACTTTTTTTCATTTTTAAACATAAATAATAAGATTTTCCAGCATTAATGTCATGAAATGAGATTATTTAGCTGCGGTTATAATCATTTTTTTTATAAAAATTTTAATTTTCGAAAAATTATTTTATAAATTTTGAAGATATAGATAAATTAAAATTCATGAATGATATTACCTATTTTCGGTTTTTCATTAAATTTGGTTTTTTTGACGCCATGATAATTTCGTTTTGCGATAGCCCAGTAGCCGTTGATGGGCTAACTATTGTTAAAATTTTATTTTTTGGTATGAAAAGGATATCTTGTGCAGCTGGATAAACAAAAGAATTTGATGCTCATTTAGGGTGAAGAAAATTAATTTTTACTTCATCTCTAGTGACATTCACTTCTTAAATCCTAACCACCAATCGTTTTCATATGCACATGTTACATATCCTCTAATCTCATCGATTAACAGATCCTCAATCAAAGGATCCTCACGTGGATATACTATATTCTCCACAATAAATGTCTGCGAATTAGAATATAGTTTAGTGTTGAGTTTAGTTAAGCCAATCGGAAACACTGCATGAATATTTTGTGTCCCGGGTGTTAAGATAGATTTACAAATCTCTCATTTAGCCTTATCTCTTCCTCATACTCTGGTATAGTGGTATAAGAAATTTTTTTACCTTTTATATGCTCTTCCGCATATTTATAAAATTGTAAAGGTGTAATTATTTGATCGTATAAGGTCTTTGTAAGCTTGCCTTGGCAACTAACCGTTTTACTGTGCCGCCTATGCCGTCTCAGGCAATTTTACCATGTGCCGTAGGAAAAAAATGCCATTCTGCTTGAACACCAAAATCGATTTCATGGTAGCAAACATTGATGAAGTTTTTCCTATTTTTATATTGCGCTGCTGAACCATCAGAAAAGTAGTAAATTTTTTCTGGTGTGTCGAATTTGTTTTTTAAAAAATGAATCAAATGCAATTGGAATAAATGGAAATGAAACAGAATTATGAATTAAGGATTCCGATATTACCACAAAACTTAGATTGTTTATTTGATCTCCTATTTTATAATAAAGTGAGAATGGATGCAACGTAACTTGCGAAGTTGTCCAATGATAACCCTGAACTTCGTCTTAGACAATAAAGGAATAATTTTCTGAAAAGTCACAAATAATTAGATAATGATTATTTTCTAAACTATTTTTAATGTGAAATAAACTTTGTTGTTCACAAATAAATGAAAGGCGTATGAGAATATTCATTTTATAGCAAAAATAATTAATAAATTCGTCCGAAGATTGAGAAATAGTCTCCAGAGTTGTTCTATCTACCGAAACCCACTGTTTAAACGTAATAAGAGCTATATCATTTTTTATAAATAATTTTTGATGCGTTTTTTTAAGAGTGCCGAGCCAGGACATTCGTTGCAGTCACCAAAATAACAGGTGGGTAACGGGGGATTGCAAATCATTCTGCCTATAACATCTCTATAAGTTGTTAATCTCACCATTTTTAGTCAATGTTGCAAATTCACAGCCTAAAATCATAAGTATAATATTCTGGTGTATGCTACAAACACATACCCTATGTGTTCCGCTAGCCCTTGCTAATACACAATTTTTTAGTCTTAAGCTAGCAAATTTCGAAAATCCAATTTATAAGTTTGAATTACTCGCCTTAAAATGATTATATAATTCTTTCAAATTATTAAGAACTTACCTTTTTTGAGCGTTCACTTGTTCCCCGGTCAGCAATTGATATTTTATATTAGATAAATTAGGATATTGTAATTTCATGTTATTGAGTATATCATTATTATCTTTCGTATCCCAATCTGGATTGTTAATTATTATATCTGTAATAGCTTTTGATATTTTTGCTACCCTTTTTTTGGATAATTTTTTTCGGTTAGTTTTTTTTCTTAATAAGAGATATTCCAATATCATTTAAAGTTATATTGATTTTATCTATTAATGTTGATGGTGTGCTGTTATTTACATATTCACTATCAGAATTTATATTTTCAATATTTTTTTGTCATAACCGTTTACGACATTTATCACAAATATAGTGTTCCGCCTCAATGTTTGGATATTGTATCATCCACGTCATGACTTTACGCAGGTTCTTTTTATAATTAAGGTGTTTAGATTCTTTAAAAGGATTTACGCATTTATATTTATACATTATAAATAATTTTAAGAAGAAAGATAATTAATATCAAAATATTTGTAAAATAAAAATTAATTAATTTTAGGGCAGGTGCATGAGAACTTGCTTTTATCTTTCAACAAATTATTATATTTTTTTGTAGGAAATATCGGAATTTTAACTATCTTTTTAAGAAATTTAATCATTTATTATAAAAACTAATTTTTACAAGTTATCAATATAGCAATAATAATAAGTAAACCTATCAAACGATCTATATAATATTTTTTCCTGATATTAATGCTGGAAAATCTTATTATTCATGTTTAAAAATGAAAAAATGGTTAAAAATAATAATTATAACAAAACACGTTATTTTATAAAGGAGCGCCATCTATTTTTGAAAAAAATATTTATTTTTTGATTTTTTAAATCGTAATAACTAAAAAACCCATGGCTGTCCCAAGTTTAAATTTTTTTTATGAATAGATATAAGGTTAGAGAATAAAAAAATATTAAATTCAAAAAATTTTGGAAAGCGAAACACCTGGAGTTTTTGTGTTAAAAATTTATAACGTAAAAACAAAACCGCAACAATATTATTTCAAAAAAATCCTTAATATTTAATAAAAGGCGTTTAATAGAGTTACAAAATGACATATAACTTATATTTTTAAAATCATTGTTTTTTAACTTATCTCAATTTCAAAAAATCGTATTTTCGAAAAAAGGCCATTTTTGGCACTTCTGACCATTGATATCTCTGGAACTATGAGTACTAGGAAGCTAAAATTTTGAATTCGATGCTTTCAAATGATATTCTCTCAGCATACAAAATTTTATCGAAATTAAAAAGGTCGGGCAGAAAATTTATCGAAATGGTATGGAATTACCCTATTAAATATTAGGCATAGGTGATCAGTAATATTTTAACAAATAATAGGGTATCAAGTAAAAGCTTTAAATATATTTTGACTCAAAACATAGCTTAGTTTTAATGGATTGGACCTGGCCTGAAGGGGGGAGGGGGTTATAAAGAATAAAAATTGGATATTATTTTCAAATAACAGGTAACTATCATAAGAGTAAGGAGAAAATTCTCATTCCCTGTCATTTTTGAAGGGCTCAGCAATGTTGACTAATGGGAGCTCTGGTACTCTTAGTTATATATTTTTCATTTTGCCCATCAAGAAAGACGGGTCATCATACTTAATATAGAATATCTTATGAGGTGTGATTAACATATTTACCTCAGAATATATTAATAAAGTATATTTAGTACCATATGCCCAAACTAATTACCCCTCAACCCCGTTATTCTTAACGGGTTATTAGCTAGTATCTTATATAATAGTATAGGTATATTCATTATATTACCAGTGTATTAACTTGCCCATTGGGTTTAACCTTCAACAAGTACAATTGGTGCATTTTTCTCCACATGTCAAATGTTTTAGAATGATTTCCCAGTAAATATTTGTGATCCCTAAACATATCTTTCGTCAAAATTTTAGTCCCCATTCCGGCGTGCATGGCGGCATATATCAAGAATGGATCGTCTTTAGAACTTTCGAAAATAAGATATATTATTCATCGAATAGGATATGGATTTATTTAACAAAAAATTTGCAATTTTTATTCATTTTTCTCATATTATTACACGGGTTGGGTCGTATTTTAATATCTTCTAAATAACCGAGCTGGACATAGCAGTATATTTTAAAACCGAATGTTTTAAATCGCTATTATTAGCTATAAAAATGTAATATATTTTAAAAATATCCTAACCAAGCCAATTTCTTTTAAAAAAATTCGCGCTAGGCCGGGCCTGAAAATATAAAACCCGGGCCGGGCCGATAATTTTTTTTAAAAAAAATCCAGGACGGGCCGTGCAAATGGCACCTCTGCAGGTCTCTGATTATTATTATGGGGTTCATGGAGTTAGAACTCTATAATAATCAAATAAAAGTCTTATAGGAATTGAATTTTAATAAATTTCGAAGTTAATAGCTACCATCAGCTTATATGAAACATAAAATAATAAATCTCGAGCAATAACGTGTAGTGTTAAAAATCCCCCATGTTTTTAAAATTTATATAGAATCAAATTGAGTATATATTTCAGCAAGGATTTAAAACAAAATTTAACATTTCAGCCGAAAGTTTGTGCAAAATTTCTTTAGTTTTTTAAAATTCATTATTATTTGAGTTAATGATCTTTTTGAAAAAAAACCTAATTGCTTTATTATGAATTTTATTTTAGAATAGGCGGGCCTTAGGATGTTTTGAGAATCTGTTAGAAAAATTTTAGCTTTAAGTTTGCAAAACTTATTAAATGCGCAATTGGTTATCAATCAAATATCTATATTATCTCTTGTTTTTTTTTCTTTATCTCTCGAGGGGTTAAACTTTAATTATTTTGTCAATGTGTTTCTTTTTGTATCATCATTGATTTTATATTAACTTTTTATATCTAATTTTTTTTAAAAAAAAAGATTTACTAATAATGGTTTTTTACATGTTATCGGTGAGAAATGTAGGATGTTTTTTGAAAAGAGAGTGAAAAGTATCATTTCTAGTATCCCAATTTAGCATATGCTTCCTTCCGAATATAGCCACTTTTAAACCCTTGAGGATCGTAAAATAGTCAATCACGTTTTTCAACTATTATTAAAAAAATTTTAAAACAAAAAAATTCAAATTATATTTTAAAATATAAACATTCTTGCTTTTTGGGAACTTGTAGTCCCAATCCCGTTTTTATATAATGAGTGTTTTTATATTTTATTTTAAATGAGTGAGTATGAATGGAAAAAGAAATAGCACAAAATGATTTTAATTTGGTAAAATCAAAGTTTTTTTTTCCAAATAAATTAAGAAATATAGAGGCTGGTTATTATAGGTTTAAATATTGCAACAAAAAAATGATAATTTTTTTAAAAAGTATTAATTTATGACAAAAAAAAAATATATAATGACAAAAATAAAATTGATATTATTTTCGACAATTTGCAATTAAAGCCTAATGCATTAGTGGAGACGATTTGACGCGATATTATAAATTCTTATAATAAGATTAATTTTTATAAATAAATATTGATCTCATTTTTTTAAAAAAAAGAATTTATAAACTCGATCAGCTATTAAATCGAATCGCGCCCAATATGAATTCAAACTTTTAATAAAAAAAACGTTTGCATTTTGAACACGCCCTATGGGGCGAAGGTAATGAAAATATTTTACAATTCTTATTCTCGAAGCTTTGCTGTCATATCCTTGACTCATGCATAAGTTGAGGGCGTCTATAATTACATCGTAATTATGATTTTTGATGAATTCTAAGAAGCGATCTAGTTCCTATTAAATAAAGATAAAATTAATTTTAAACAGCTATAGACAGCTGTCTAGTGATTTTAAGACTGAAATAAGAATAAGTACATATTTAACCGTATTTTGAACATATCTGTTAAAATCTTTTTTTAAAGTCCCAGCTGATTTTCTGAAAAGAATGATATATTAAAGAATTAAGAAAAACAATTAAGACAGACTAGGTCGCAGTCTTAGACATTTTTTTCTAAATAAATAAAAAACAAATTCCCTAAACTTATTATAACTTCATTCCTAAATACCTTTAATCTTTTATTTTTATCCTTATTTAAAAGTAAAGACAACAAAAATGTTATTTAAACATAACTTTAGGGTTAGTTTTCTGAAAAATATCTTGACCATTTATGACTACTTTGTAGAATTTCTTCCGCATGCCAACAAAATCTTCGTGAGATATGTTCAACGGCTTTAAAAAGCTTTTACAATTCATACATTGACCACTAGTAAAATAAATTTAAAAATATACAATTACTTTTTTTAAAAAAATATCTTTATAAGGTTCAAAACGTTAATCAGACACTTCAATTATTAAAAAATAAAGTAAAGATTTCCGATTTTAAAAAAAACTCATGATAGATAACGGTTAGGGTAGGAATTCAAATTGAAAAATAAAATTGCCCTTAAAAATGAAAGGCGAAAAATGTTTTGAAATTATTTTTGAACTAACTTATTAGTAATTGAGGTAAAGGTTCCACGCCATTCTCCTGATTCCAAACTTGAAGTCAATATATTTTTTTGTAAAGAAAAAAATAATTTTGAATATAATATTGTAAATTTAATAAAAATGAAAATTTTAATAAACTGGAAAATACAAAATAATAATTAATAATATACTTTTCAAGATACTCTTTCAGTAAGATGGTGTACTCCAAAGATGGATAAATGCTAGTGTAGGTTGGTTGATCAAAAGCAAGAAACTCCAAAGCTTCCATACCTCTCGATTTCATATAATCTCTATCGATATCTGAATCGAATTTGATATTTAAAGAATCACTTTTCTGGTAAAATTTTATGGGGCCGAGAAGCGCTATGGTTAAAGGTTCTTGTATAACCTGGAAACCTAAATCACTTTTCGATGTATTTTCTGCAGGATTTATAAGCTTTCCAAGATCCAAGCTCATATCTTCCTTTAATATATCTTTTATAAAGGAACCAACGATGACTCCAGTAGTTTCACAATTTTCTTCGTGACCTTTGAGAAATTTCCAACCCATCTCGCCTATCTTGGGACATAAATCTCGATTGGAAAAACAGAAGGAAGATATCAAAGAAATATTCAAGTCTGGGGAACCTCCAGTCATTTGTTGCATAATGGCGTATTTTAAACACCGGTAAAAAGTGTTTTTGAATTCCCTCAAATCATCAAATCCACATCTGCTCAACGATAAAAGAGCCCGATGACATGTGACGGAATCAAAAACTGGACCAAACTTTTGTAGATTTGGTTCAAGCGTTTTGGTAATGAAATCGGTTATGATACGTTTTTTGAGGGCTATGATTGTAGAGGGATGTATATTTTGTGATTTAGGATAATTATTTCTTTGTTATAAAAAAATAAATATAACCAGGGTTGGGTAAAAAGTTAAAAAATTTGAGGTATGTTATATAACGCTCCTGTAATTTTATCATTTTGAAAAAGTAACCAAGAGCTCTGTAATAGCTAAATTTGTATAAGTTTCGTTATGTTTGTTCCTTACTTTATAGATTTAAAACTTTTATCGAAATTCTCTTAATGGTAAAATTATGGTTCAAAAAATATTTTTAAAACAAAAAGCGGGCGGGTGAATTTGAAATATCTGCGAAATGAGGAACGGACTTATATTTATTATTAAAAAATATTTCTTCATTCCATAATATTATTGCTATTTTATAAAAAAATACTTTAAAATATAAACAGCCTATAAAATAATTTGTAAATATTAGACTGGTGGGTGGGTCAAAACAAAATTTTTAGATAATTGGGAGGGCAGGTGGGTAAATTAAAAAAATATATTTGTGAGCAAGCGTATTAGAACTTAAACTAATGGGCGGGTGTTTGGATTTAAAACTTTCATATTTTAGACCTCTAATTTATAGTAACTAGTCTATGAATTTCAGACTTATATGTAGACCTGTGCGCCGGCCGGCCGCCGACCTTTTTTGGTTACGCCAAAAACACCGCCGTTTAAAAAAATCACGCCGGCGCAAAAATTTCTTTCTACCTTTCTATTCTAATAATTGATCAACATCACTCTTGTAATTTTTTAATGTCAATCAGAATTTTGATGAATTTTTATTTTTTAACTATTTTAAAATCTTAATTATATTGACCTCATTATAGAATTCAATCAATCAAAAATCTAAAATTCCAAAAGTTACCATAATTTTACATATTTTTAAAATGGATGCATCTACTTTAATAATTCTATAAATAATTTTAGTATCCTAACTCTGGATAATAAAAAATCCATAGTCTGGAAATTTTTTGCAAAAGAATTATAGAAATTATTACTGCTCTAAGATATAAAACTGCAGAGGTTGAATTTGAATTAGAGGAATATCAATGAAAATGCCTAAGTACAATAGATTTAACATCAGACATGTTAGATCTTGACAGCATTGATCCATACTAGGATACCCGTTTTCAAATTGGCAATTCCAATGATAATAATAACAATAATTCTACGCATATGAAAACATTAAATTAAATATCCCAACACGTTGGCATAGTATATTAATTATGCTAGAAAGCATATTTGGATTAAATAAGAAATTAATTAATGATGTTTTGAAAAGAATTGGGAAGCACTCTCTCAAATTATCAAATTAAGAATCTGATCTAGTAGAAGAACTATTAGCATTTCTTTCAAAATTTAAAGAAACTATCGAATTTCTTTCAGTACAAAAAGGGCTTACTTTAAACTTGGCGTTACCTTTTAGAAGTGAAATTGAAACACATTCAATAGTAAATGATAGTGATATTTGATCACTTAAAGAAAATATGCTAAAAAACTTGCGTTACGATTTCCGGTTTGTAATCTGCAAGTAATATTATATAAGTATATTCTTTTATTTTTTATTTAAAATTATCTAGGTATTGACTTCTCTTTTAGATCCAAGATTTTAAAAATTGACAATTGTGTCAAAGTATTTAATAGAGCAAAATTGCTCAGCTTCAGAATTTATAATAAAACATCTTAAACTTATAGAAAATGATGATAATCAAGGTAGTAAATATAGCTAATGAGGATGAATTATTAAATTCAAGTTATTTGACAAAATGGGCAAATAAACATTCAACAAATATAAATTATGATTCCAAGTTAGGTGACTTAGAACAAGAATGCCACAGTTTTCTTGGAAAACGACATTCACAAGATATGGACGTTCTAAATTCTTGGAGAGAAAAGAAGAGTGAACTTCCCAATCTTTCCAGGCTCGCCAAAATAATTCTTTGCATTCCGGCGACTAGCACACCTAGTGAAAGAGTTTTCTCTACCGCTGGATTGACGTTAAATTCAAGGAGATCATCATTATATTCCAAAAATTTAAATAAAATAACTTTTATACATAATAAATAAAATTACGAAATCGATTTTGGATATAAGTTTTCTATTAAATGAATATTAAAAAATATGCCGAGATATCTGTAGAATAGTGTATATTTATTTGTTTTTTTTAAAAAAATTAATAAGCAATTTAAAAAATTTATCTTATAAAAATTTATATATGCGCCGATTTTATTGACGGTGTTAAAAATCGGCGCGCCGCCGGCCGTTGATTAGATTTTTTAAAAATTGCGCCGGCCGTCGATATTTCGTAGGCGCACAGGTCTACCTATATGTATTATTTAAATGAAAAATTTATATAAAAATGAATATACTATAAACTAAGAGTAGTTCAAAAATTCAGATGGAAATTGTCTGAAATATACAGGATATGTGCTCTACTTATTTAAAATACAGTTTAAAATCGTATTCTCCACATTTATAAACTGCCTTCAGTAAATGAGTTAATATTGAGAAATTCTGAATAAAGGTTTGCAAACGAGCTGATTAAAAAATTTAAACACTGGACAGGCGGGCTGGTTAAAAATATTTTAAAGCAATAGGCGGGTGGGTGAATTTGAAATATTTTTCGAGAGAAATATGCAAAACGGGCGTATATTTAATAATTTATTTCATAATATGCAAATTTTCTAAATTATAAAAATAAAGATCCATACCAACCAATAAAAAATTTTTAAACATTGGGCGGGAAGAGTTTTAAAAATAAGAAGTAGAAGGGCAGGCGTGTTAATTTAAAAAAAAGTTATGCTCGGTAGAGAGAGGGTAAAATTTTTAAAACAATGGGCGCTAACCTCTCTAATCCGATCCATTTAACTAGTTACTTCCCCAACCCCTGAAAGCCAAGCTAAAATGATACAATAATACTATTCAAAGTTAAGTAAAAGTAATTAATAATTAAATAGTGATCCAGGGACCCAAACTGTAAAGAATTCAGTCCGATTAATGTTCAGAAAAAATAACGCTTAGGGTTCGATTCATAAAAATTATACTAATGATTCCATGCAACTGAACTTTTAAAATTCGGTAACCTATTGAAATTTAGCATAGAGAAGCCTATTTTTTAATTGGCATGAAGCCGATTATATAAAACAAATAAAGTTTATTTAATTCTTATAACTAAACAAATAGAATTTAATCTATTAACTATAATTTACCCTAAAAAAATATTATTGACTATTAATATTAAAAAAAAATCAAGATTTTCTTCTGTCAGATTATATCTATAAGGAGAGATAATAAATTTCATTGTTGAAAACATTTCTATAAGCTAACTAGAGTAGTTTGGATCGTCAAATAGCAATAAAAAATATATAAAAGATACTAATACTCATTAATTAATATTGATTTATAATAATCGTCAAGATATCAAAGGGTTCAACCCGGTTTTACAGAACATTTTTAGAGGTTCTGTTAAAATTTGGGTTACAAAATATTTAAGGGTTCGAGTTGAGTTCAAATAGTTTATTATTCCGGCTTGGTTTGGAACCCTTGAATAATCTAATTTGGCAAAGTTAAACTTTGATAAATTAGATTTATTATGCAACTTAAAATAAGGAACCAGTACAAACCTACAAATATTAATGATTATTAGTTGAGATGTATCTATTTTTGTCGGATCGAATCGGGCCAATATTTCACACATTTTAAAATATCGGTTATCGGCCAATATTTTAAAATTTTCCGATCCGATAAAAAAATGGCGTTTTTAACAAAAATAAAATGTTATAAAAAAAGTTATATCTAAAATCATTTATTTTTATAAATAAAATCGAAATCCATTTTTATGTTTATTATTTTAATTATAATAATTAATTAATAAACATTCTGCCATATTGTTATTTTTTTGGGCATTTATTTATAAAAGTGTGCGATAATCTCTTCAGAATCTGTTTTTAATGAAGCTGGTGATATTGACAGTTACTATCGCCGCAGGCTGACCTCTGATAAATTGGAAATTTTGGTATTTCTAAAAAGATATCTTCGATATATTGATGTTAAATAAGAAATCTTCGATTTCTTAATGTTAAATATTATTTCAAATATATTTGTTTATTACTTATTATGTATATAGATCAGAGACCTGCAGGCCCGGCCCTCCGTATTTAAAATTTTTTAAATATACCCGGGCCGGGCCGGGCCTAAAAATTTTTTTTTAAACATATCCGGGCCGGGCCTAAAAAATTTTTTTTAGATATATCCGGGCCGGGCCTAAGATTGTTAAACCGGGCCGGGCCTTATATTATAAAAATTTTTACATTATGAGTTAATGGTTATAAGATTATATTATATTATAGTTATGATTAATATAATATTGGGTGATGGTTAACACTACCTAACTACCCACAGATCGATCTAATTATTAATTTCCTGCAAATTTATTCAAAGTATTAATATATTTTTTTATAATTCATATCTAAATTTTTACAACATATTTTACCAAAACAATCAAATAAAGGAATATCTTAAATAAGCCCCAATATTCAAGTATTATTAATATATTTTTTTATAATTCATATCTAAATTTTTAGAACTTAATATAAAGCATTTTTTAATTGAAAAATTTGTTTTACACAAGTATCATTTTATTTCTCTTTTTCTCTGTCCCAAATTCAAGCAATTACGTATGTAGTCAGGGACAGATCGCAAAATGACGGAAAACTATATAAAAGATTATATTAAATTACAAGAGGCTCAGGAAGTAAATGAAATACCATCGACCAGTCAAATTACGACTGTTGTTAAACAAACTGAATCGTTTTATGACAAATGGGGCGATGGTAATTCTGGTAATATGTCAATACCCGATGATGAATATTATAATTACATAAATAATAGATAAAACATTTAAGGTGGATAATTTGTTAGAGTGGTGGGCGGCTCATCAAAGCGAATTTCCAATTTTAGCAAAATTGGCAATTAGTGCTTTAAGTGCAAGCTGTGAGCGAAATTTTTCCAATACTGGGAGAATTCTTGAAGAAAGAAGAAGTTATTTTCAACCTGAAAAGGTAGATATGCTTCTCTTTCTTCATGATAATTTGTGAATTTTTAATATCTTTCTTGAGTATAGGGTTTCGTCAATCATGCTGGTTTTTTACTTTGCAAACTGTCAAATATTTATTGCATTTATTATATTTACTTTGAGTCTTGAAAGTTTTTAATCCAACATTTTTCATTATTTTTTTTTACAATATTATATAATACAATTATCTTCTTTTGTTAAAAATTTATATTATAAAATAAATTATATTAATATTGTGCAATTAGATTATATTTTCAAAATACTATTTATTATACATGCATTTTTTTAAATAGCGATTTATTTTTATTTTATAAATTAAATAGTAAATTAAATACAATATATTATATTCTCAAAATATTTTCCATTTTTATAAATTAAATATTAGTTTTATTTTTTTTAAATGTAATATAAAATATAGTATATGACAAATATTATTACCATTTTTATGAATATTAGTTTTATTTTTATAAATGCAATATAAAATATAATATATGCTCAAAATATCCATTTTTATAAATAACAGTTTTATAATTTTTATAAATTCAATATAATATTCTCAAAATATTAGCTTTTTACATGTATTTTTTAAATAATAAGCGATAATACTCGCTGAAAAATATGGTAAAATACCTCATAGGTGAATTTTTGTATATACCAGGTCGAATATAATTTTAAAAAATTCCGAGCCGGGCCTGAATTTTTTTTTTTAAAAAATATCCGGGCCGGGCCTTAAATTTTTAAATCCGGGCCGGGCCGTAAAAAATTTTTTTTAAAAATATCCGGGCCGGGACTAAAAAATTTAAAACCGGGCCGGGCCGTGCAAATGGTACCTCTGCAGGTCTCTGATATAGATTAATGTTATTACTTATTATATAAAAGTAATTTAACAAAAATATTTTATATACTTTTAGAATTGCAATTGATTTGAATATAAACTATACCTGATCATTTTAATATATTTTAATGATTTAAGCTATGGTATAATTTGATTATAGATGTTATACTAATAAAAAGTATATTAAAAATTAAATCCATTGATATCTTTACAGAATACAAAATTAGATGATATCGGATCGGTAATCGGCCGATATCAATTTAATATCGGATCGGATCGGCCTCCAAAAAGTGGTATCGGTACACCACTAGTTATTTAAAACCAGCATTAACAGAACGTAAACCCAGACCATAAATAAATTTGCCATTCAAATAAATGACAAACAGAATTGTCCCCCAAACAAAGGTCCACCAAACAAAAATAGGGGAAAAATACCCTAAATTTTAAAAATTAGTTTAAATGCTTTGAAAGAGGTCATTTTAAAATTTTCAACTTTTTAAGCATTTAAATTTTTTTGAAAAATGGGGTAATTTTGATCAGTTTCCTTTAATATAATGTCATTTTATCTAGGGTACTTTTTGTCCAGGACATTTCTGACCATGTTGTACTTAAACTGAACCTTTAAAAAGTCTGTAAATTAATTTCAACTTTTTAATACTGTTAGTCATTTTTAGATATGTGCTTTGTTATTTGATGATGCTATCAATAAAATTCATTTTTTCATTTTTTCATGTAGAAATAATTATATAAAAGAGAATCTTGAAAACATTTGGTTTTATATTTTTTAATTTAAATTTCTTTTGTTATAAGGTATAAATTAGATATATTTATACATCATCATTCATAATAATAATAAAATAAATTTTAGTTGATTTATGTTTTATGGGCTTTTGTAAAACATTTCTAAAATGTGATTCCATATAAATTCAAAAAATCTCAAATCAAAATAAAATAACCAAATCTTGCTTAGTGGAAAAGAAAACATTTTTTATGTATTTCAAAATGCATCAAAATAAATTATAAAAATTAAATTGATTTTAAAGCAGTCATTTAATGAATTGCATTTATATATAAATAACAATAAATAAATTAAATCAAATTAAATTCATAATGCAATTGATAATTTTTTATTCCATATTTTTCACTTGAAGATATTTTTCAAATAAATTTGGACTTTTCTCTAAAAATTTATAGAAATCTTGATAAAGCAATTTAAAATGGTATTATGTGAATAAAATTGGCTTAAAAAAAAATTCTTTCAACATTAGAAATAAGAACTGGTAAAAGAAAAATGAAGCTGGCGATAATTAGCAGTTCACTATGTTCAAGTATTGAAATATAGAAATATTTGACCCATTTTCGGTGAGGAGGAAGTTTTATATATTCAATGCATCTCATTTTATTTATAATAAATAGTTCAAGGTTGCAAAATTGGTCAAACAACTGTAACTCATTTAAGGAAACATATTTTATTTCCCTCTATTGAAAACATTTTAATTCTTCTAGAAGTTCTGGTCTAAGATGAACATATTAAATGCAATATCTATATACATACATCTCTTTCATTGCATCTACTTGGATTTTTTGTCCATTTTATTATATGTTTCAAATATTGCTTTTACATTTAATAAAAAAATATTTCATTCTTTCTAATATTTATGATTTTAAATTGTTTGACATTTCAATAACTCAATTATTTTATTTTTCAACTGATTTAATTTTTTCATCAAATATACACTTCTAAAAAATCATTGGACATATCATATTTTTGAGTGATAAGTTGTTTATAACCAATCAACAATTCAGCGAAATATATGATGAGAATACATTTTAAAAAATGAATGAAAAATAATAACATAAGCAAAATATAAATAAGTAAGATTTATTTTAAAAAGAGAGGACAAAACTAAAGTAAAATTAAAATGATTATAGACATTAAAGATCTGCAAATCATGTTCCACGTACCTTGCCCAAGCCTAGCCCAGGGGTTTTTAACTGGATCTATTTGAAAAATTTTGGGTTGAACTAGGTTGGGCTTAAATATTTTAATATAATTTCATTACATTTTGTCAAATAAATTGATATATTTTAAAATTCTTGCAAGACAAGTCACTAATTTTTATTTGTTGAATATCATTTTAGAACCTAAAAAATATTACATTTCTATATTTAAATAAATTTGGGCTGGGCAGACAAATAATTTTTATTTTGAGTAGGGCTTTTTGGGACAAATAAAAAAAAATTGTGCCAGGCCAGGCATGAACAAATAGGCACAATGCAGATAACTATCAAATATATTTTTATACATTTCAAAAGAGGATATCTGGTAACTCTAAATCAAACCAGTTTTTAAGGGGTAAAATTTAAACAATATTATCATTTTTAACAAGGTCAAATCTGAACTTATTTTTATTTGAACCTAAGCCAATATTCATTATGGTTGAGATCCCTGACTTCAGGTGCAACATACATAGTAGTTTAGTGTGTACTTTAAATGTTAAATTAAAATATTTAAAAAAGATAAAATTTACTTTTGCACTGTAAATAAAATAACTATATTCATTAACTAAACATTACATAATTCAAAGCCTTACATAAAAATATTTAAGTTTAATTTAAACCTGCAGTTAAAAGGATAAACCAGGAATAAGCAGGCGGATTTGATTGAATTTTCTGAATTGAATGGAGAACCATTATTTGTTTTATACTGAAAATTATGAAGCCATCTTTCTGTGACACCAGCCCATGACAAAAAATATGATAATAATGGTAAATTAAATTCTAATTTGGCTTGAATTTCCATATAAAATGAAATACCAGCCTCTATGGGTGCTTTTTTGCTGTTTAAAACTTGTAAAATTTGTGGATAAATTTTTTCAATATAATTATAAGATGAACATCTAGACAAATCATATATAAGACTTTCCCAGTTATATATTGAATGAATTAGATACTTATAATCTGTTAAACTTAAGGTTTGGTTTTTGTAAAGAGATTCATAAAGTTTAAAATCAGTATCAATAATAAATTGTATGGTTTTGGAATGTATTAAAACAGGATTTAAAAAATGAGATTGGGTATTTAGAAAATTTGGATCATTAGAAAACTGAGATATGCATTTAAATAAGTGTTTGCTAGAATATTGTGTTTTAAGATCTTTTAAAATGGGTCCAATGGTTTTATTTAATGAGCATTTCATTAAATTTTGAAAAAAATAATTCTGGTAAACCGTGCAATAAAAGGTAAGCTAATTTTATAAACTTTTTTTTCCCCGGTCATGGGTTACTTTATTTGAATATTTACTGATATGATATGTTGTCAAAATGTAGTAGCAAATAATTAATTTTTTAAAAAGGTAAAATAAATAAAGGTGAAAAATGTAGAAATAGAATTTACGGGAAAGGATATGGGATAAAAAAAAGGAAGTTTGGAATATGGAAGGTTATTAAATGGAAGAGACAGTGCCCCCTACACTTTTTGAGCGAATGAAGCAGAATACCCCCATGAAAAGTACCCCCTTGAAAAGTATCCACCCCCCTTCGAAAAATGGATAATTATGACACCCATAAATTTCAAAAATAATTTTTATTGCATCAATTTTTAATATATAATATAAATAAAATGCAAAAAATATAACTTTATAAATATTATTTTTAAATTAATAATTTAGATAAATTATGGTAAGAGAAAGCGAAAGAATTTATAATTTCATCAGTATTTAATTGTTTAAATAAAATATTTTCCATTGATAATATGGTTAAATTATTGAGAAAAGAATCTTTCATGGTACTGCGCAGTCTTGTTTTATTTAATTTAATTTTACTCATAACTCTTTCGGCAGTACATGAGGTTGTGGGAATGGTTAATAAATATTTATATAAAATTCTTAAATTAGGGAAAGCAGAAAAATTTAAAAGTAAACGATAAGGTAAAATAAATGAATAGTTTTTCCAATCTGAATCGTAAGTCCCTGAATTATCATCATCAGAAGAAGAAGCTAAATAATGTATTGGTAAAAATATTTTAATTAAATAAATTTACAATTCTCAGAATCTGACAAATCTTTAGATTCTTAAACCTCTAGGTCATGAGTAATAATTACATTCCCCATTTTGGCCATCTTATAAATATTTCTAAACTTCAACATTTCTTCGAAAATTTGTCTTGAATTTAAATTGTAAAATTCACAGATATCCTCGATATCTTCTTTAATAATTGATTTTTCTGCCATTCCCTTTGGCGTAAAAAATGATGTTTGATGTAAAAATTTCATTGAATCATCATTAAATCTTTCGTTAAACTGCATAATAATTAAATCGAGTGCAGCATAAAACACACCTATTTTAAAGCTAAAAAAAATTTCTATATTTAATGATGAAAGTATATATACCTCTCCTTTTTGGATTGTAATGTTTGAAGTCTAGAACTTTCAAAATCAAAAGGTAGATTTCTCTCCTTCATAAAATCTTGCGCCTTTGAAAAAACATCCAAAAATTCAGTGTTATTATCTATTAGATTAAAAAATAATTAAGACAATAATTTATATTATACTTCTCAAATTAATCAAGCAATCTTTTGCCAATTGAATTTGATTTATTGCATACCCTATATCCTTCGAAATGGTTTGCAATTTTGTACAAGCCAAACTTGTTATCAACAATATTTTACAAATTTTTCTATTCTAAAGACTATAGCACTAGCCATAGTGGAAGTGGCAGGATCTTCAGAATCCTTTAAATTTGTTAAAGCTGCCCTCAAGGCATCATAAAGTTGAAAAAAATTTACAATAGCTTTATATGACGATAGCCAGCTTCTAAATAAAAAAAAACATTTAAAATTTAAATAAATAAGGAACTATTACCGAGTGGTATTCTTGACGCGTAGAAATCGTTGCGATTTTTTCAGATCATTACACTGAAATTTTTAGAGTACCTCATATCTTTTTACACCATTAAAATAGACATAAATCTCATCTAGTATTCCTAGAACATTACGAAGTTCTTTAATTGATTGGCATAATTGAACAACGATTAAATTTAATCGATGACAATAACACCAAATAAAAGCTGCCTTTGGCGCCTCTGCTCTAATCAAGGCTTGCACACCATTGATTCTTTCACTCATGTTTGAGGCGCCATCATAACTTTGCCCAACTAGATATTCAAGGGGTAAATTCATCGACCAAGTTTGGATATTATATTATGCTTTATATCGAGACCTGTGGTATTTCCAGTACTATATATGTCAATCAGTCTTTCAACAGGCTTCGGCGTCTCACTATTTTCAACATATCTTACTATCAAAGCTATTGCTTCTGATTTCGAAACATAGTATGTGCCATCGACTATGATTGAAAAGCACCTGTTAAATTTAATCTCATTTTGAATTTTTTTTATAACAATATTTTTCATGGTTTCAATGAGAATGTTTATGTTATTATATGATAATAGGTTTGAATATAATTTCGTTTTTAATCCCTTATTTTTTTTATCCTTTTTTCTTTCTTCATTTTTCTGTATATACATTTTTAGCATAGGTTCAGAATCTGCAATAAGCTTAATAAGGGCCATCATATTGCCTTCTTGTTGCCTGTTCCCCCAGAAGGCTTGGTTACGAGATATTAAATAATCTAAACATCTTATTATAATTCTTATAATAGAACGGTTATTATCTACACATTCTTTCTGAGGTGTTATAAATTTTAATATCGAATTTTTAGTATGAGAAAGCCTTCCATAATCGGCCATCATATGTGCCTGTGAAGATTCATGCAGAATAATATCACGATTAATATTTTGCCATTTATCTAGACATTCACATGTCCATTTTGAATTTGCGTGTGGACCACCAAATAAGAGACATGTTAAGCAAAAAACTTTATACATTTTAATACTATAAGTAATCCAATTTCTAGGAATTTTGCTATTGTCAATATTGGTTAATATTTTTAGGCATATTTTAAAATTGGAAAAATAATTTATTACAAGAAATTTCGGATAACAAATTTACTAAACATCGACCAAAATTTCCGTCAATATATTAAATTAAATATTAAGTGGGGGGGGGGGGGGTCTTATTGTTACATTTATAAACCAGAAATCATATGATCATGATGGATGTAAAAAAAAGTACCCCCACTCAAATTTACTGAAGCAGTTGCTTCAGACCCCCCCCCCGTTGTAGGGGCCCCTGGGAAGAGATGAAGCTTAGATAGTTAGAGCGGATGATTGCGGTAGCAGTTCTTTGGCGTAAGAATAGGGATTCCTTAGCGGGTTTTTCGCGGATCCGTTTGCCTAATTCTTTGAAAAAACGTTGAGCTTTGCTATCGAAGGTGGTGAGAATCGAGCAGGCGATGGATATGAATAGGAAAGAAGGGTCTAAGGAACTGTACTTTATGGTTTTCCGAGATTCTGCGAGGGCGAAGGCATCGACGTTATGGTTTGATGGTGCATTTGGGTCAATATTTATATTTTTTTTGAAAAACCCATTTGAATTCATTAATATTGAAGGCAGTAGAGTCACTTCTTGGATGGGGTGTACAAGGGCTCAAACTTGCTAAAAAGGAATATCCCTCTAAAAATTTAGAGCCATTTTTTCTACCTAAAAAAAAGGAAGGACATTAAATGTTAAGATTATTTTGATGATAGCTATAAAAATATAATTTAAAAAAAAGAATTTTTTTAATATAAAAGTATTATAACTATTATGAGTGATATTGATATTTCATTTTTAACATAGAATTTGATTGCAATTGTTAACAATGTGTAAATATAATTTATAGCATTAATCTAATAATTAAAATAGCACTTGTTTGATAAAAATTTATTTAGTCTTATTCATTTTTTTAAAATAATATCTGTTATAGTAAGCAGGGGTCAAAATATTACAAATTTTTTTTATTATATAAATATATTTTAAAATGTTTAACTACAATATGGCTAAACAATTATAATAAATTTATCCTTTATATATACAAAAAACCTATTAAACAATTAAATGAAACTAGTAAGTAAAGTTAATATAAATGGTGTTAATTTAATGAATGTAAGATACAAAAATTTGCGTTAAATAATAACCATTATAATAAAATAATCCATGTTCGACATTCCACCCTCTACAGGAACCCCGCCTAGGTTCTCTTTAGACGTAAATCTTTCGTGTTCAAGGAGTTTCCTATCTATTTTGATAATAAAATCTGTCAGTTTCGTCTTGGTAAATGATAATTATTTTGGTTGTAAAATCTTATCTTGCCTTGCTCCCTCCAAATCTTTTAAAAAAAACCGTTTAGTATGTGATTCGACTTTGTCATCCTTCTGTTAATTATTATCATAATTTGTTATTGAATAATTTTAGAATATATGTATTATTGAATAAGAATCGCCGAATAATCGAAATAGAATTAATTTAATGAATATCGAATTTGAAAGAATATTTGAAGTAGAATAAATTAATCAAATATTGAATAATCGAAATAATATGAATTGATTGGTCTCATTTTATTTTAATTTTATTATATTATAAATATTGCGTTTTAAATAATAGCGTTTTATATAATAATTTTTATCAATATTAAATTTCAATTTTATCTTTTTTTAAAAAAAAAATATCTTCAATTGTAGCGTTTTATATAAAAATTTTTTATTAATATTAAATTTCAATTATTTTTATTTTTTTAAATTTTACTCCCTTGTTTTTCAATATAAACAAGTTTTTAATATCATAAATTATCTTTAATTTGTTCTTTCTAAATAGAATTTTATTTCGCTTTCCATATCTAATATATGATTTCCATCAGTGGCATCACTAGGGGGGGCGCAGGGGCTTAAGCCCCCTGAAAAATTTGAATAGCCCCCTGAAGCAAAAAAAATTAAAAGAACTTTTTTTGATTGTCCCCTGTTTATTATAATTCTATTAAGTAATATATAGATTTAATTTTATTATTTAAAAATTAATAAGACTATCTAAATTTTATTAGATTAGATTAATACATATAAATTATATTTTCACTATGTCAGCTTGCAATCAAATTCTTTGTTAAAAATAAAATATCAATACCATGCATAATGTTTTAATATCAATTTAGCATTAACAGTTGAAGTTTAATTGATTTTTATTAATTAAACTATTATATAACCCTAATTAAATAAATATAAAGATTTATTAATTGAAAATTAACAAATTTAATATTGTAAGCCGAGTTTAAAATCACTATTTAAATAAAATGACTTTGCGATTTAAAAATTTAAGCATTAAAGACTTTATGAAAAAAATTAAAGATAAAAGTAGCAATAATCTTGAGGACCAAAGAAGAGGATTCAATAATAAAGCTGGTGATAAACAAAGTATATTTTATACAGTTTTTAAAATTCAAACTTTGATTTAGTTGAAAGGCGATTAATTGTAGTTTTAAAAGATATAAATATTGAAAACAAAAATGTTAAAAGAAAGAAAATAGGTAAATAAATTTATATATAAGTCTGTGTCCAAAATGTTTTGAAAAATCCTTAAAATTTTCACAAATTAATAACAAAACACTTTGGACATTTAAGTTTTAAAAAATAAAAATTTATTAGTTAATTATCTATTTAAATGGAAGGTTTCTTTTTCACTTGATCATAATTGAAGTTATATGTTTTTCCTATTTCCTCCCAAATTTGCCTAATTTCTATAGAATTTCTATTTAAGTCATTTTTCACCAGAGTATTAAACAATATTGATTTCTTTAGTTTTCAAGTTAAGCAAAAATTGCTTTACAATATATTTTCACCTTTCAGGAGCAGGACACTAGAAATGGGAAATTTTTTTAAAATTTTTATATTATAATCACATAAGGTGATGTAAAAATATTAGCTAAATAAAACATAGTAAATATTTTCTATATAAATAGTCAATATCTTAAAAAATCATACACTATTATTCTTTTTACATTAATAAAGATAATATTGGCTAAATTGTTTACTCAATCATTCTTTCATTCTTTCATAATTTGATAATTATATATTTATTTGTTTATCCTAACTTAATAATAAACTATATTTTAATAAAAATGCTTAATAAATTTAGAATAGTTTGCTTATTTATATATATATTTGAAAAATGTACACTATAATATGGAATATTACTTTTTATATATTATATTTACAAAAATAAATATACTGAAAAGAAATAATTTTAAAATTAATCTTATTTAGATTCATTGAATAATGAAGAAAGTATTGTGAATGACATGATTGTAAATAATGTAAGTACAGAAGGAAAGAAAATAGGTAAAAAATTAATTTATATATAAGATATTTTATTTATAAAATAATAGAAGCACTATGTGTGGCTCAATCTGAAGATATATGTGAGATCCAATGTACAGATATCTCTGAATGTATTAATTTTTTAAATATAATTAAATTAAATATAAAATTTTATATAGACATAGAATCTGAAGAGGATACTACAACAAGCCAGATTCTTGGTAGCAGTAAATATAAAGGTATATTGGATAAAGAAGTTTTATTGCAACAAATTACATTTGATGAAATACATTTTAAAATTAATCTTATTTAGATTTATTAAATAATGAAGAAAGTATTGTGAATGACATGATTGTAAATAATGTAGGTACAGAAGGAAAGAAAATGGGTAAATTAATTTATATATAAGATATTTTATTTATAAAATAATTGAAGCAATATATGTGGCTCAATCTGAAGATATATGTGAGATCCAATGTATAGATATCTCTGAAGGTATTAATTTTTTAAATATAATTAAATATAAAATTTTAGGCATGGATTCTGAAGAGGATTGGATAAAGAAGTTTTATTACAACAAATTACATTTGATGAAATACATTTTAAAATTAACCTTATTTAGATTTATTAAATAATGAAGAAAGTATTGTGAATGACATGATTATAAATAATGTAGATACAGAAGGAAAGAAAATAAGTAAATTAATTTGTTTATAAGATATTTTATATTTATTTATAAAATAATAGAAGCTATACGTTTGGCCCAATCTAAAAATAACAACTATTCAAGTATTTTTTTCATTTTAACAATATTTTTCTTCAAATATATAATATTTGTCATAATTTTCATAAAAGCAATAATATTTTAATTTTTATATTAATATTTGTCACTTTTTTAGAAGAGCTTATACAAGTATTATTTTTATTTTAACAATGTTTTTCTTCAAATATATAATATTTGTCATAATTTAATAAAACCAATAACATTTTAATTCATTTATTAATTTTTATCACTTTTTTCAGAAGAATTACATCTGGGTACTAAAACAACTGGTCCTATGCAACCTATATTAGGTGCCTATCCATATATTGGAATGGGTAAAGATAAACGATGCTTTCAAACTCAGTGGTACAAATCCTTTCCCTGGATTGAATATAGCATAACCAGAAACTCTATTTTTTGTTTTCCTTGTCGTAATTTTCCCACTCAACCTCAAAAAGGATACTTTTTTAATCAAGGTTATCAAAAATTTCGTAAGGTAAAAGAATACTTAACAACTCACGGAGCAACAAATGGTCATGCAACGAATGTAATTCTCTGGAACCATTTTAAACAATCTTTGATAGAAGGCACCATTAAAGAAAAATTTATAGCTGTAACTAAATCAACAATACTTGAAAGAAGAGAATATTTGAAACGATTATTCAAAATTATAATACTATGTGGTAAGGGAACTTCCCCTTAGAGGTCATTATGAAAGTAAGACAAGCAATAATCAAGGAAATTATTGTGAAATATTAAACTGTTTGAAAGAGTATGATCCATTTTTAATAGCATATAAACCACCAGGCAATGCTCATTATTGCTCACCTCAATCACAAAATCAAATGCTATCTGCAGCTGGAAACTTAATCGTAAAGTACATAGCATCAGAAATAAGGGAGGCAGGCTATTTTGTTGTCATGGCTGATGACACTCGTGATGTTAGCTCATATGAGCAATTTAGTATATGTGTTAGATATGTTGATAAAACAAAAACACCAAAGGAATCTTTTATATCTTTTCAAAAAGTTGAAGACTTAGATGCAGAGTCATTAACGAAGACATTAATAACAACCTTAAACAACAATTCCATAAATGCAATTTGCGTTGCTCAAGCATATGATGGTGCAAGTGTTATGAAAGGGCATCTTTCAGGAGTCCAGGAAAGATATCGCCAAAATCACAAAATGGCTATATATGTGCACTGCTATGCGCATAAACTCAACCTTGTACTGATCTCTGCCTGCAAATCAGTACCTCAATCTAGAAAGTTTTTTAATGTATTAGAAGGTATTCATGCTTTTTTCTCAATATCTGTCATCCATCACAATAAATTTCTTGATTTGTAATTAAGATTAGGGTTAAAATCCAAAAATATTGATGCCTTGAGTTCTACACGTTGGGGATCCCATATTAGAACTATAGAGGCAGTAAAAATGACTTTCCCTGCAATTATTTCTTATCTAGAAAATATAAACCATGGTGATGTGGTGAAAGCAAAGGGAATTTTATATATTCTTTTACAATATGATACAATTATGTGTATGTTTATATTCCAAAAATTATTATATATGTGTTCCAATATTTCTATCTTGTAGCAAAAATCAGATTCGGACATATCAACAGCATTGGCTCTTATTGAGTCTCTTATCAGTTCTTTGTCAAATTTAAGAAATAATTCGTATTTTTCTTCATTATTTACCGAAGTAAATAAATTTTGCAATTTATGTAATATAAAAATAACAAATAAAAGAGCAAATATACCTTCTACCATTTTGAATAATTATATTCAAATAGATGATATTGTTTCTTCTAATCATTCTGATCAAACAGAAACTTTTTATAAGTGTCATGTCTTTTATCCAATTTTGGATATTATGATAAATGAATTAAAAAAGAGATTTTGCCAAGAAAACACAGATATTTTAATAGCTATAAATGCTTTACATCCCTCCTCCCCCCTTTTTTTAAATAATGATACATCATTAAACCATTTATCTTACATTATAATCTTCCTGATCCAATGGAAGAATACATAATATTAAAGGCTTATATTTTAACCTATAATAAAAAACACGAATCTACGTGTAAATCAATAATAGATTTGATAAAAATCTTACCCATAGATATATTCCCTCGTATATTTAATTGCCTTAAAATTGCGTTAACTATACCTTTTAATTCCTGCTCATGTGAAAGATCGTTTTCAGCATTAAAACGGGTGAAAACATATCTTCGATCGACAATGGGTCAGGAACAATTAAATTCGTTGGCTCTATTGAGCATAGAAAAAAATATTATTAATACCATTCCTATAGATCACATTATAGATGAATATGCAATAATGACTAGCCGGCGTAGAGAACTTATTTTATAAATAATTTAACCTTATAATTTTTGAAACGCAATTTTAGGCGTTAGTATCTGCGAGTAAATATATCGTTTAATATTTATTTTATAAATTTTTTCATATTCAAAATTAGCTAAAAGACATGGTGCTTATAAAAAAAATTCTTTTTGAGATAGGAAAAAATCAGAAAAAAACAGTAAATGCTTTCTTTTGATATGACCAAAGTTTCTGAAAAATTTAATTAAAAATATTTGAATACATTGACAATACAATAATATATAAGATCTTAATTGCTTTCATCATATCACTATGGTACTTATTTTCTAGCTCCCAAATTATTTATTTCTAATTTGGCACACTTAAATTGTAAATAACTCAAGGCTTCAATATATTTGCATAATTTCTTCCAAACATAATTTCTTCTAAGATTTTAGGTGTTTTTGCTTTATCAATATATCTAACCTAACATACTAGATTTTGATATGAGTTAACATCGTGTATGTCATGGCTATGACTGCAAATTAATCAGCATCTATTATTTGTGTGGCTATGTAATTTAAGATTATTACTACAGCTGCTGAGAGCATATGATTGCATAATTAAGATGAGCAACAATGATCAACTGTCCAGTAGTTTATATAGGATTAAAAATGGAAGATAATCTTTTAGAAATTTAATATCTCACAATAATTTTCTCGATTACTTATCTAGCTTCCATCATGTCATCTAAGAGGAAGCTCTAACCACCATATAGTTTTATGATTTGGATTGGTCGTTTATATTCTCTTCTTCAAGAATTGTTGATTTGGTTAGGCCTATAAATTTTTCCTTATCTATAAAACTTTGTCTAAAATGGTAAGAGGGAGATATACTAGTTTCATGACCTTTTGTTAATGTTAGTTGCTTAGAATTATATTGCCTTATGGGGTTTTTAAAAACATTAACAATTGAGGCCTATGTATGAATTAATTAATCGGTTTTATCACTTGTAATTCTTTAGACGCGAAATTTTTTATATCAGCAATTTAAAATACTTTATACTGTAGTAAATCGATTTTGTATTGAAAAATTTGTAGAAATGTATTGTTTTAATTATTTATATTCTAGTTTTAATTATTTATATTCTAGTCTTAATTATTTATATTCTAGTCTTAATGATATTTATATTCTAGTCTTAATGATATTTATATTCTGAATGATATTTATATTCTAGTCTTAATGATCAATATTCTAGTCTTAATTATTTATATTCTAGTTTATTTTGTACGTATAATATAATAAAAAACAAAATATGAAAATAAGAATAATCCTTCAAGAGTTTAGTAATTTTTAAAAATATATTAATATATAACCCGGCCGAAGGCCGGCCAAAAGTGGGTTGAAGGCCCGCAAATTAGAGGGTATAAGGGGCGAAGCCCTCCATAAAATTTTTTTAGTTGAACCCCCTGAGATTGTATAGGCTAGCGACACCCCTGATTTCCATATCATGTTAAAAACTTTTTAATTGATTTACATTTCACAGTTTTATTTAATTTTTTATCAATTATACAAGTTTTTATTTCATTATTTTCTTTAATGATTATTTCCTTATTTTCTTTAAAGTTTATTTCCTTATTTTCTATAATCAAAAATGTTTCAAATTTTATTATATAATTTATTTCTTTTAGTTTATAAGAATCTCTTTCCTTTTAAATATTGGGTTTCAATTCAATATTTTTATTTATAAGATTTATGTCATTAATTTTATATATTCATTTGAGCCTTTTCAGCAAAGCATCTGGAGATTCAAACTCCTCATCTGTCGACATGGCTCTAATTAAGCTAAAGATATTATCTGGTAAATTAACAGTTAATAGCATACCCTCACAACTACTGTTGAGCTTACTATCTTTAAAAAAATTCTCAGCCTCAGCAATATAAGACTGCATGTTGCCGCTATACTCCGGAAAAGATAATATCATAATGTTTATTTTTATAATATGTTTATTTTATAAATATTTTAGAGATTTTATAATTAAAATTTTAATAAAAATTTTTTTACTTTTTCAAATTAATTATTTATTACATGTTTTTAGAATAAATATAACATTCCAGAATTTTTTATCTAGTTGACCATATTTCAGTAGCTAAAATCATGTTGTCTGTGGATTTAGAATATTTTGTAAGTCATCATAGCCCAATTTTAGTAATCATTTCCATTATCAATGATAGCTCCGTCTAGTTTGTTATCTAGTTTAACAATTCTCCTCATAGTTGATTGATCCATTTGACCTAAATTATATTTAGTAGAAAAAAATAAATTTAACAGATTTTAAAATTGTAAATTCCGCTGCCACCATGTTATAGTAAGCAGGGGTAAAGCAAGATATTACAAAATTTTTTTATTATATAAATATATTTTAAAATGTTTAATTACAATATGGCTAAACAACTATAATAAATTTATCCTTTATACATATATTAAGTAAAGTTAATATAAATGGTGTTAATTTAATGAATGTAAGATACAAAAATTTGCGCTAAATAATAACCATTATAATAAAATAATAATCCATGTTCAACAATATCAAATATATATTTATATAATATATAATAGAATTCTAAAAAAATTGTTTAGTGAACTATAGGAAGCCATTAAAAAATTATTTCAGGGCGCTATTCAATTTTTGAGGAGTCTCGAGCACTGCACATCCTAGTCACGTTACTGCATGAGATTGCCTAGGCTGATAAAGCCACTGATTAAAGATATACTGGAGGGCTGTAGTCGAGAGGGGAGTACATACCCTTGCCGACCCTCTTCAAATTTTTAAAAAGGGGATACGGTGTAACCCTTCCAAAAATATGACTATTTTATACATAAAAATTTTATAAACAAAATAAAAGTTTATTAATGAATTGTATGTTTTTAATTTCAAAATTAACCCGTTCCTATTATATTTGGTACTTAAAAAAATTATCCAAACTTATCTAACAATCATATCCTGGCATTTTTTAAATCACAATTAGAATTATTGATGTCTGCTGCAATAATAAATGTTACGGGTAATAAACTGTAAAGCTATTGAACAACATATAGTATAAAAAGCCAGTTTAACAAATAAAAAGGCGTTGGATCAAATAGCATCTGAATTGTGTATTCAACTTCTACTGATTAGAAGGGCCTTTAATATACGATGGGTGTTTAGCCGTCTTGTTACTGTTATGGCAATTTGGAATAACTATGAGACCCTGTATACGCATTTCAAAAATTCAAAAAATTCTAGCAACAGTGTAAATTTAAAGGGCCTTCCACCCAGAAAATGATGAATTTTATCAGATATCTCCTTCATGTACAGGGTTTCCAGATCTCCTCTCTTCAGTGGGAGGCACCCGCAATTTTTTAGTTTACATGCAGATATCTCACTCCCGTAAAACTATCGCAATATACTGCAAAAATCAACCACAATTTTTATATTTCTCCCGCACAATTTTAGCACTTAACGTTTTTAATATTGAGAAACAGTAATTGATGATTTTTATATTTTTAAAATAAATTTTAAATATTTATTTCAAAACTTGTCTAGTTTGTAAATTTCTTTTTATCCTTACCTTAATCATATGTTTTATTTTTATCCAAAAATAAATCAACATCATTCATTCATATTTTATCATTTTCATATGGGTATGTATATAACATTATAGGACTAAGCTCTCAATTATTACATACGTTTAAATACTTAATATTTTACTTATTTTAATGATAATTATTTTATTTTTTATAGTTAAATCACATTATTATTATAATAAGTGCAAGGGAGTGTATCTACATCTATTGCAATACAAAAATATGTTCCAAAAATATGAAATAATACAGCTAGAGCTACAGTTGCGTAAATCTTATATACTTATCATATAGTACATCATTCACAGAGCTACTTATCATCACCATGTGGGTCGAATCTTTT